TGTAGGGAATATAGTCAATAACTAGGTAATAAAAATGCATTACTTATTGAATAAGTTCATTAACCAAGAGTTGAGCAAATAAATTTTTTAAAACTTGCAATGCTTTAACAAATGTTATCACCTGCTAAGACCTTTTTTTCTTTTTTCTTTTTTTCTTTTTTTTGTAGGAAAGAGGGATGGAGAATTAACTCTGAAATCAGACAAGCCCGAGTTCCACACTCCTCCACTAATTCTGCCATAATGGGCAAGTTAATTAAACTATAAGTTTCTCAACTCTCTTGTCTGTAAAATGGGAACAATGTTAAAGTTGTTGAGATATGGATTAATTCCTTTTAAGATCTAGTTGAAATGCCTAGAACATAGTGATAATTCAATAAATAATGCTGTTGGTGTTATCAATATTATGGAGATTTTTATACTTGGTCTAGGAGAAGTTTTGCCAACCAGACTACATTATTTAATTTGGTCTCACATTTGGAATAGTTAATAATATACACTATCATTTATTGAGTGCATACTGTATGTCAAGTTCTGTCATAAATGCTCTCCATGAAGTAACTTATTTAATTCTGAGAACATTCCTATGAGAAAAGATGACTAATATCCATATTTTACAGACAACAGAACTGGGACAGTCTTTAAGTAACTTGCCCAAGATCACACTACCATTAAACAGCAGAGCTGGGGATGAACCCCAGCATTCTGACTCCAGAACTGAGCACTTAATCACTATACTCTCAGTGAGAAATTTTAGCAAGCATAATCATAGATGTAAAGTTCCACGTGTAAAATTATATCCCCCAGCTTCCACTGGAAACAGTAACTCTCAGAGGTATTTTGAGAAACTTGAAATGAAATGACATACTGGTATAGAATGCAGGGGGGTGTAGGTAATGAACTGGTCTGTTCTAGTGAGAAATTGGAGCTGCACCCTTATGAAAATAAAAAGTTATGCAGATTCCACAGTTCCCAAACTTTTCAGTTCCCTCTGCATCTGTCTTAGTATTTACTAGCCCCTCGATAATTTTAGCATCCTAAAATAGGGTTGCTAGTTGATGGAGAAATGTTTATAAAACCCAGATTTGTCATTACAGGCCCCTTCCCTCCAAAAAAAACATTAAGATCAATCCCTATGAATTGCCATGACAGCTGACTAAAATCTTGAAGTTTTCCATCACAACTACTTATCTATGTAAGGGATGTGCTTGTGTGTGTGTGTGTGTGTGTGTGTGTGTGTTTATGTATCCATGGAACTATGTGTATTAGATGTGTATATGGAGAAAAAGGTATACAGAAATTTAGCTTGAAAGAGAAGTAGAAACTTTTAGTTACTTATGATTTTATGTTGCAGATAATTTCAAATTTGTAATTGTTAAAATTATCTTAAAGAATAGACCTTAAAAATGACACTCCAAAAATCAATTTGTTCTAGAAATTATTACATAGTTGCAATTACAACTTAAAATTTTCTTTATTCATAATGGACCCAAACTGGCAACGTGCCCATCAACTGGTGAATGAATAAATAAATTGCGATGCATCCATACTGTGGAATACTCCTCAGCAGTAAAAACAAACTACTGAGGCACACAACAACACAGATGAATCTCAGTACATACTGAGGGACTTCCTTGGTGGTCCAGTGGTTAAGGCTGTGAGCTCCCAATGATAAAGAAGATGTGGTACATATATACAATGGAATATCACTCAGCCATAAAAAGGAACGAAATTGGGTCATTTATAGAGACGTGGATGGATCTAGAGACTGTCATACAGAGTGGATGGATCTAGAGACTGTCATACAGAGTGAAGTGGGTCAGAAAGAGAAAAACAAATATCGTATATTAACGCTCATATTGTAGAACCTAGAAAAAGGGTACAGATGAACCAGTTTGCAGGGCAGAAATAGAGACACAGATGTAGAGAGCAAACGTATGGACACCAAGGGGGGAAAGCGGCCGGTGGGGGTAGGGGTGTGATGAATTGGGAGATTGGGATTGACATGTATACACTGATGTGTATAAAATTGATAACTAATAAGAACCTGCTGTATAAAAAAAAATTTAAAAATTAAAAAAAAATAAAGACTGCTCTCCTAATGCAGGCGGCCAGGGTTTGATCCCTGGTCAGGAACTAGATCCCGCATGCCAAAACCAAGAGCACGCATGCCACAACTGAGACCCAGCACAGCCAAATAAATAAATAAATAAATATTTTTAAAAAAATCATGCTAAGTGAAAGAAGCCAGACATCAAAGGCCATCTGCTGTATGAGTCCCTGTACATGACTATATAAAACTATATGAACAGAAATGAGCTCACTGGTTACCAGAGGATAATGTCATGGCGGAAGAAGACCCTGACTGCAAAGAGCCAGGAGGGAACTTTCTGCAGTGGTGGAAATAACTTATGTCTTGATTATGGTGGTGGTTATCTGACTATATGTATTTGTCAAAACTCTTAGAACTGTGCTCCTCAAAAAATGGTAATTTTTGCTGTAAATTATACCTCAATTAGCTTGACTTGAAAAATTAAGAACATGAGAGAGACAGAGAAAGAGAAAAACATAGCAACCAAATGCAATGTGTGAGTTTTGATCAGAGTCTGGTTCAGATCAAAGAAGCTATACAGAGCTTTAAGCAACAGTGGAAAACTAAAATATTGATTATCGCATGACAGGGAATTGTAAATTTTCTTAGACATTATAATGCTATTGTTGATGTAAGAGAATGTCCTTACTCTTCATGTTCTTACTGCATCTGTTAAGTACAATCACTTTAGTAGCGCTTTCTGACAAAACTATTCTCAGATTCAAAGGTTCTACTGGGCTGTAATTGCCAAGTTAATAAAGTATGCTTGCAATATGCAGATAGGTGGGAGCAACGTTCACAAAAAAAAAACCAAAAACAAACAAACAAAACAAAAAACAATGTTATGCACATGGTCTTAAAGGTCTGCATTGAGTTGGTAATTTTAAAGTGCTGTATGAACTGACCAGTGTTAAGTTTCCTAAGTTACCTTGGCACCAACCATTTGATTCTTAGTTGCAATTATACTTTATTATATATACATTGTTTCTCTTAACAGGAACACGGGGGACAACAAATCTCTATTCTTTAGGTCTCCATTCTGTAGCCTCTAGTTTACTTCTAGTCAATGTAATTCTTATCTCATAAAAAGGAGCTTTTGTAATTTAAAACATACTTACGTTTTCAAAAGTTTGATATCGTTCTGCATTATAATTTTAACTTTCCAAAGACTTAAATTACTTTGATATTACTGGGCAAAAATTTAAATAATGTACCTTCATACTTATTGACCTGGAAATGTGCTCTGGATACATTATTTGAAAAATGCAGTTTATCAAGTATCATTACAGTATTTACTTGATTACATAAATATATACAAATAGAGAAAAGTGATTGGTACCCATCCAAACAGTGCTAATGGTGTGGATGGTGAAATAACGTGTGATTTTCATTGTTTCTCTATTTTGTCTGAGACGTATATAAGTTTTCCACTTATAATTAGAAAAAAATAACAAATTATTTTAAGCTAAGTATGCATAGGAAATGATATATAAGATATTTGTAAATTCAAGTGCCTATAGAAACTTGTAAACAATAAAATTCCAAAACTGTAGCTTGCTGGCAATACCTAACAGAAAGAGATTTACAAGATGAAAGAAATAGGAAGTCAAACTGCAAGCAAAGATGTGAGGCAGAAATGATGTGCTGTTGACACAGAGAAAATTTGTGAGATATTGAAAAGGTGCTTATGTTTGCAAAATGGAACCTCCATTGGAGCACCTCCAATGTTAGGATAACTTTTCACCTCTTCCTATAGACATTGGAAAACTATTGATCTGGGGTAAGTTACATAAATTCATGATAGCTAATTTAGGCATTTATCTGCTTACACAATTGTTGGGAGGGATGGAGAAATAATGTATTTGGGGCTTTCAGGAATGATTCCCAAAGATACACTGCAGAACTGACCCACCAAGAGCCAGCTGCATGAAGCAAACTGAAAACTGGGAAGTTGGTCCTAATGCTGGAGTCTGCAGAACCATATTGACACGGCATAATCAGAAAGCCACCATAATTACAAAACTGCCATGTCAAGAAAGCCACCACAGATAAGAAGCCTCCTGAGCAAGAAGCCTCCTTACTGCTTCTGGCTTCAGAAGCACACTGTACTTCACACCGATCATTATCAGAAAACCACTGTTCCATGCCTTGACTATCAACACCCATGAAACTAGTGATCAGACACTGGGACTTCTTATAACATTGCCACAGAAAAATCAGATGCCTACAGACCGTGATCGCCTATAGAAAAACCAAAGGCTGGGAAAGAATGAATTCTGTCTCTCCTCCGCCTTGCCAACATTGAATGCATGCCCTCTCTAGCTGCAAAGAAGCCTGGAAAATGTAGTTTTTAGCTTTTCAGTCTTTGTCGTAAAGAATGGCACATTAGAAGGGGTTGGAATGGAGGTAAGGCACCAACCTACAGTTAATAAGATTAGCGAGTTAAACCACTCTGACAGCTACTAATGTCACTTCGCTCGCTAACAGTGATTCTTTACCTTTCTTTTTTTCAGTCCCAAAAGACCTAGCAGAAACATTTTCTGAGTAATAATGACTCACTATGGCACAAAGTTTTCACATAATCATTAAAATTAAAGCTGTGTTTTCACTTATGGATTGTAAACATAAATGTATACAGTTCACATATCTTCAAAATTTACTGCAATGAATTGTGATGCAAATGACAATAAATCATCAATAAACATTAAGTAAAAGAAAGGTCAGAAATTTAGAAGTACTGGAAAGGGATTGGAGGCTCCTATTCATGTTTACTGATTGAATCAAATGGATAGTAAAGTATTTTAGAGATCCTTAAATATTATAAAAAATGTGCATTCATTCACTTTAATTGTATTATAACATAGATGGCTCAAAAGAGCACTGAGATTTTGATTTTATATGAGTTAATCCATTATACTTCACTCAAAGTTTTCGGTTATATTTTTCATATATCCTGATGTATAGCAAATTCCTGTGACACAGATGCTGATGATGGCTATAATAATTGGATTTTGGTGTATTTTCAAGAATTTGATAATAACATGATTGTTATACATGGCAACAAAAGAATCATATGTCAACCAATGTTCACACATATCAGAAAAAAGAAACTCCTGTCACAGTGGAGGCTAAGAACTCTCCAAATTAGAATCATAAAACTTTTCAGCTGGAAGTTATTCATTTAATAAATGGTTACTGCAATCTACTTCTTATCAACCTTGACTTCAACACAACCTCTGTATTTGAAAAACTCCATTTCCTATTGATGCAGAGGCTATACCAATAACTAAAATACAATGGGGCAAACACTGTAATTAAAAATGCATAAAATGCTATGAGAATGCAGGGTGAGAGTGATAAACATTCCTCTTAGGAATGGGGAAGGCTTCAGGAAATCTTCATAGACAAGGATATATTCAATCTGGGTCTTCAAGGATAAGTAGGGAGTTGTATGAACATGAAGGAAGGGTACTGAAGCAAGGTGTACAGTGATTGGAAAGGTATGAGGTGATGGGAAAGACCATGAGGTATTAAGACAACTGGGAGTAACCAAATTTACTAGAAGAGAGGGTATTTTTAAGGAGTCTCGATTTAAAAGGGCCCTATTACAAATGACCTTGTGATGCTTGAGCACATTGTTAGTGCTCAATAAATATTTAGTGCTGATGAAAAAACAAAAGAATGAATCTGAAAGCACTGAGAATTCATTAAAATGTCTGAAACCGGGGAATAACTTGATTACATTACATTGTAAATGATTCAGAGAGAAAAAGAGTGGAAAGTAAGAGGCTGCTTGGAAAGAAGCCTATTGTAGCTCTTCAGACAAGAAGTGAAGAAGCTGTTGTCCCAGAGAAGTTAACTGGTTTGTTCAAGGTCTAGAGCTGGTTACTAGCAAAATTGGCTTCTCTGCCTCTGCCCAAACACTTTTTCGACTACATTTTCTTACCTATAAACTCATTATTCACCACCTAAAACTTGAGATCTCTATAAGAGGATTTCTATTGTAATGGTGCTGTGGTACAATGATGTTGGAAGTTGTGGACAGGTCTAACTGGATAATAATATTTCAGCAGG